TTTTGGCAAGGAGATACATATACGTTACTCTACTGCTGAACTATGTCAGAGTTTATACCTATTTGCCATTATTTAATGGTATTCACATATGTGGTACTTTTTTGCTGAATATTGAGTTGATCTTGTCTCAATGTCATGATTAGGGGACTGCATGAACTTTTATAGGGATGACAGATTGAAACGTGTTCGGAAATACATTGTTACTTGTATGCATTATGATCCAAAATCACATTCAAAGGCAGCATTTATTTGAAAAATGAACTTAAGCAAGAGTTAGTTGTGATCACTCGATAAAAATCTTTATTTAATCCCCTGTAAGGTAACTTGACTCAGTAACGTGACATTTTGCTATCCATTTTCCTCCCTCCGTGCGTAGGCCGTAAACTTTTAACATTTACTTCCTTGCAACTACTCGATCAATTTCTATTGCGTCCAGATAATATACCGATCAGTGTAGAAAAGTGGAGATTACGCATTCTGAGAGAATTTAGTACTTTCTAGTTCTGGGGGAACTTAATTCTTTTCAGATAGCATTCTGAAGAGACTTTATCCTTTCCAGTAAATATTCTGAGAAACCTTTATTATAATCTTTCCGTTTCAAATAAGTTTATTTTTAAAATTGAGAAAGTTTGCACTAATCCGGCCATCAAACCTTTCTACCGCAATTTTTTATTTTAAAAAAACTTAAAATAATGCTCATGGGCTACGTGCAGTCTTGATTTTTTTCCCCCAGCAAAATGCATAGAAGTACCGTTGTCAGGGCCTTTAAAGGTATTCACTGAAACTTGTTCTATGTCATGAACATGTATATACATGTTGTAAGCCTTTACAAAAAACACGAACAAATTAAAACAGAAAATTTGATTTGATTCAATTTCTGTCGGAAAAAGTACGAACAAATTAAAAATGAAAATTTTGATTTATTTCGATTTCTGTCCGTTGTCATGACAAGATACGGAAATTCGACCCGTTTTCATCAAGCCGTAGACCAGTGGTAATCGGTGGTTTGAGCGATACCCCAACATTGGGCAAGTAGTTCTTAGAATACCAGTCACATTACGTATCCAGCGATTGGGGTATACATGTACAATGGACAACCGAGGCGCGTTTTGTTCTGTTTTTTTATATGAAAAGTGCCCGTGCCACTCGCCTTACCCTGCTGTTGTACATGCGAAATGTTGCACATGCGAAAAATGAAGCGCTTATTAAAGCCCTGTGATGCATCACTAATCACAGACTGATGTTTGAGCAGTAATCGGTCGTTTTTTATTTCATCGCTCATACATTGGTGAACATCGTTTCAACATTGGTTGTACATCGGCCGACTGTTTGCCAATATTTGATCGACCATCGACCGATGATCGACGATGTCTGTTGCCCACCACTCATCCCCGATGACCTCAGATTCAACGGACACTGGACGATGGTCGGTCATACATCGGCCGATCCTTGAAAAGTATGTAAATGAAGGGTTGCCGACGAGGAGCGGTGTGGGACATCGGTGAAGACATCCGTAATTTTTATCTACAAGTTATTTTCTCCCGATAATCCCAACGATGCGCCCGATGGCCACAGCCATCGTCCGATTATTATGGGTGTCAGACCGGCAACCAGGCCGTATTTATCGGAAAAAAACGCTTCGGTTGCCCATCGTATACCCCATCACTGGATAATGTGACTGATACTTGAAGCATTCCTTAATCATGCCATCAAGAGAGAGGAGAGCGGGGGGATGTCAGCGCCGACCAGTCATAAAATACATAATGTATTTTATCCTCTCATTTCATATGATGTTCATTCTTTGTTGGTCAGACAAGAGAGATTCAGTTCCTTTTCCCCTTTTCCTCAAAAACTGTTTTCAAAGTGAAAAAAATTGAAAATGGGGACTGTATAGCTTTTATGCGAACGTTAAATGACGCGGAAGATTCCGATCGACAACTGCTTAAGAGCTATCTCACAGTAAAAGACCCCCACCAAACCCCCTTTCTTTTGGTTCATATTTCTGTACGATGATAAGAATTCCTTTGCCTATACAAAAAAGTATTTTGAAACGATTATTTAGACAGATAGTGGCGTACTTTTTATTTATGAGTAAATTGCGTGGAACCTGCAGAACACCAGTCACCTTAGTAAATTAATATCAGTAACATTGTATAAAACTATTTAATATACATGACTTTGTACATAAATAATTCCAAATTGAACTGACAACGATGAGATAACTTAAGCCCCACCTCTTTCGCGTTCGAAAAGCTATCATTGGATTCTTGCTTCACTCGTTAACCATGTTAACACTCTCCCGAATTTCTATCCAATGTATACCGGGTTATTTCAACAGTGACTGAAAGGCTGTGTAAATTTCAGACGCTAAGTAACGCATCGCGCCTTCTTTCTGAAAGTCCAAGGATTTCAGACAATTGTACTAAAAGAGCCAAATGCGAATTATAAGGATACTATTATCTTATAGTATCATCTAAAGTAAAACATTTTTACAGAATTGCCTGATAAACAAAAATTATTCTGGATTCTAAATTGTGAAGAATTAGATATACTAAACTCTCTTGGAAGGTTTTTACAAAAAGCATTACCATAAGTTTTAGGAATGTAAAAAGTATGATACTTTGAAGTATATGATTTAGTAATGTATGCATTATATGATGCACTGTATATATATACCTATAAAACAATTTTCATGTACATTTAAAATATTTTGGGTATTCCCCTACTTGTGTGTCTTTTCTTTCAAGCAAGCAACCCTTTCATTCTTATGTATATGTATATTGTATTTCATGTGTATGATCATAACCATTACATACATTGTAACAATGTACTTTCTTTTTGCCCCACGAGGGCCCTTAATTGGTCAATAAACGAATTGAATTGAATATTGAAATATACTTCTTTACAGAAAAGTTTACTCAATACTAGTGTTGCAAAAATTGAGTTCAACGTTACTTTTATGAATATTAATAATATTAATTGGCAGACTGATGTAGATTCATGCAGAAATGGGACATAAGTTGCAGACAGGGGCATCAATATTATTTGTAATAATTAAAACAAACTTGACTCTATTGTCTATTCTTTAAACCCCTCGGCGAAATCTGCAAATAAAATGACCCACCATATACTAGTATACGCCAACGACAACCAGATATATACATCATCGTTGAACCTAGTCATGCAAGTGATAATTGATCCGATATGTCCTAAAGACTCATGTTGTGTATCGGACATTCGTAGATAGATGAGTTCCAACCTTCTCATACTGAATGAAGATAAAACCGAACTTATTGTTTTTGCACCGACACAGACTTACAAATATAAAGAGTTTTGAGTTAGTATTTGGTGATTGTGTCGTTAGTAATCAAATGCATTTTTCATCAAAAATTAAGGCAAATTCTTTGATAATGCCTTATGGAAAAGAAATCCATCTCAATCTCACGTTCAGCATATACAGTATGTACAATGTTATAATTGGCCGTATCCGTTCGTTTATTAGTGACGAAATACGTAAAGCTCTAGTTACATGTACATGTACATCTAACACAGGTACTTGTGGACAGGACCCCCCCCCCCCTCTGATATTCTAACCCGGGGCTTGTTGGACATTTTTTCACAAATTATATTTACATGTATTACACGTATTCATCATGTGTACAATAGGAAAAAGCGCAAAACTCCAAAATAATCGCTCCAAAAAAAAAAATACTCCATTATACATAGGTCATTTTTACCTGATTAAGTATATACATTTAATTATACTGTATTGTGAGGCACACATTTTTTTTTTTAGAATCAAGGAATCATTGAATAGGATGGTGTAATTAATATTGGGTTTAAATCTTTTTCAGAAACAGGTAAAAACATTTTCTGACTTACTGAAAAAAGTATCTACCATCATCCTGATTTTGCACAGATCTGACACTACATTAGTGTTTTCTGTGGTGCATGTGATAACAGGCCAGGAAAATTATTTTCTTACTTTTGTTTATTAAATTTTTTATCAATTTTTTTTCAGGAGGGGGCATTTTAATGGGGCCAGAGGCAATTCCAAACAAATAAGGCCAAAAATAATTAATCAATAGTTTCTCAGGCACCGCCGCATCACTTCAAAAACGGCCACATTGATCAATTTTATTGACATATTGAAAGGGGAAATAACTCGATTTTCTATTTTTCCAAGTCGAAAAAGAATATTTGAGTTTTCAGAAATGCTACGGTAGACATTTTTATTAGAAAAACAATATATTTCTTCTAATTTAAATATTTTATGAATTAACTTTTAAATAAAATTAATGTTTAGAATAACATTATTTAAAGTTAAAAACATATTATAACTAACTTCAGAGAACAAAAAGACATTATCATTTTAATGAACAAATGGCTGAAAAAAAGGTGTAAAACCTGCTTCAAAAAAAAAAAAAAAAAAAAGCCTGCCTGCCACATTGAATTTTGAATTTTTTGGCCTGAGAAACTATTGATTAATTTTTTTTTTTTGGCCTAATAATTTTATTTTGGCCTTATACAATTGCCTGGCTGTATTTGATGATTTGTCCCTATCCTGGAGTTCCGGAGGGGATGAGGGACTAGAATATATCTTCAAAACTTCTTTGCTCCATTATCCACATATTTTATGTACTAAATCAAAGAATTCCTTTACCTATTTCAGGGAGGAAGCTTAAATATTCAAAACTTTTGAGATGATGTATTTGTATGGGAACAGGTAATGGCAAGGATTAACTAAGTCACTCACATGAACTAAAACTCATACCAGTAATGTCCAGTATCTAAATGCAAAACAATACAACATCTTCAATTAATCTTTTTTTAGATGATAAATGTCAAAAATGTGAGGAACTATATCAAAATTCCTATGTACCCCCCCCCCCTCCTCCACATACACAAATAAACAATAAAGGATCATGCAACTTAAAAAAAAAACAAGCTACTAAAATTTTTAAGAATGATTTTTTCATTAACTTTATACATTTACAGTTTCTAAAAGCCTTCTTAAAAAAAAAAGGTGTTAGGGGATATTCAAATTACAATATATCATTCTATGATGTAGTCAGCATGAAAGGAAAAATTTCAGAACAAGTTATTCATTTCTTCTCTCAAATTTCTCTCCCACAGCTGAGATTTACTCTCCTGCTTCTTTTTCAGCTGTTTGTTAATTGTAGAAGTTTTGAGTTTTCTTTCTTTGAGTTTTTCAACTGCATTTTTGTCATTAGGTCCAAAATGTGTAACTTTAGCCTTCTTTTTAGAAGTCCTCTCTGATTCCCCACCTAAACATTGTCTGTCTCGTTTTAGTACTGTTTTCACAGGATATCGTTGCCCTTGTCCTTTTGATCCCAATCCTTTCTCCCCATCCCATCCACTCTTTAACATTAATTGAAATCCTCTGTTGCCTGGAGGAATAAGAAAACTATCTGGTTTTGGCTTCAGCTGTCTGTTAAATAGATGCACAGTAGAAGTTTCATGGTTTTCCCCTTCAATTTGGTGAATAGTTTTATTACACACATCACAGAAAAATTCAACCACTTCTGCTTCCTGTTTTTGTATCTGATTGTCTCTCGCAATACTTTTATCAAACATTGATATAAAATTGGCCAGACTTTCATGGCCAGCTCTCTTCGCAATGACCACTGCATCCCTTCTCTTTCTGTCCACCACATATTTGTTTATACCCTTCTTGAGAAGATATGTAACTACTTGTCTATTTCCACTATGACCTGCACACATTAAAGCTGTCCATCCATAAGAATCAACACAATCAATCTCTACTCCCAGTTTTAAACATTTCTTTACAATTTTTATGTCACCATTTTGAGCTGCTTTCAAGAAATCACTTTCTTTTACAGATGCTAAGGAGGTTTTAGTAACCTGGTTTGCCAGTCTCTCGTTGCAATGTTTTGCATGACTCTGAGCATGCAGTATATCTTGATGTAATCCATTCTCCCTGCTGGAATCATTAATCAAATCTTCATAAAACTGCCTTGCCTGTGAGCCAGTGATGTCAGGGACAATTTTCTGTGACTGTTCTGTTGAGTTGCTCTCCTTCTCCGTACTCTCTGGGACAAAGAGAACCAATTTTGACATGTCCAACCTGTAAAAATAAATTTTCAAATAACTACCTTTCCTACACTTTTAATGATACAATATATATTTAGCACCACAATATACAGTCTAGTCAAACCCCCAAACGGGGATAAACCATACCCCCAAAATGCAAATGGGGATCTGAGCATGCACAGATGTTTAAAAATGTGTGTATTTCACGGAAAAGGTAGAGGTTTACAAAAAATGCCAGTGCAAAGTAACCAATCATTTCGCAAATGTAAAACTACTTGGAAATGATAGATTAAAGGTGTTTTAAGAGTTTGTATTTTACAAAAATACAACTTTATTGTACAAATCGGGATTTATTCACTGGAAAAGTTGACAATCTTGAGCTCTTTGACATCCAGATATTTAAGATAAAATATTCGATATTAAACAGTACGAGGGGTTATCAAAAAGTTCTTGGACTAACGTCATAAAATTAAAACCCCTTTAAGCACATCAATGAATTTTAAAATATCTAGTAAGTATCATCTTTTCTGTCTAAAGAATAAACCATAAATCATAAATTTTATTTTTTAATAAATTAGTAATGTTTTTGTAAGCAATGGTATGTCCAGGCGGTGCAACCTCCAACACGACGTTTTTGCGACCTATGTGTAACTTAGAAAAACTCTTTTGATATGGTCATTTGACATCCAAAAATCCCGTTATAAAACAGGTACGTGTCTGACCACAATTGTTCCATAAAAAACGAAATTTTCATTTCATTCTGAAAGTTTTATGAAATTTTATCCCAAATTTTACACGGAATGTCCAAACAAATGAGGCCTTGAAAATGACGTCAAAAGGGGGGAGAGATTTCAGTTTCCAAAATTCTATAAAGTTTTGCCCCTGAAAAAACTGGTATAGACCTAAAATATGTTGAAACTGGCTGCAGAGAAATAAAATGCATCTAGAGTACTTGTCTTTTAATGTCAAAATAGATTCAGAGAGAAAAGGGATACACAGTTAATGTCGATGTGCAGTCAAGGTGTGAAAAATCAATCACGTCAAAAAATGACGTTGATCATGTGTTGTAGATATTGAACTCCCAAAAGCATAATATTCCTGCACAATCAAGCGCGGATCTCTCCCTATGTATTAATTCATTTGGAATATTATATTCATTGAAGGCCACTGTTCATGACATTGTAAAGTCATATAAACAAGGTGGGTTTAGGTCCTTTCTTAGCTCCAGGGACTCTCATCAAGAAAGTGTTTGAGGTAGAAGAAGCGGACAATGAAAAAACAATGGCGTTATCGGACGTCATGAAAATAAACGACGACAGCGCCGGGTGATCATATAATGTCGTTTTGATTTTATAATAATTTGGAAAATGATGAACGTATCAGGCTAAAATTTTCAACATTTCTTTACTTTTTGTTGTTTTATGTTCCATATAAATTTTGAAAGCACAGACTACATAGTACTAATTTTATAGCCTCAGTCCACGAACTTTTTGATAACCCCTCGTATGTATCAATATATCGATACGTGTCAATATTTTATAATCATATCATATCGAAAATTAACTTCCAATACATATCGGGCAGATATTTTTTCTTCTAATTCTGTGAAAAAGGTGGGAATTTCAATCACTAAAGATTATATTAAACATTTTTGAGTTAAAATTGACCAATTAATATATAATCACTGAGGAAATAGCACAACTTGTATAATTATTACCAATTACATAGATAATTTTTTTTAAACGCATTGATTTTACAGTCATTAAGTTTTAATTTAAAGTGTTGTTTGTAATGACTTTGAGGCATGAACTTTTAAATGGGTTATAAAACACTCTGTTTTTTTTTTTTTAAGAATTTCATGCTTTTAATGATTTTATGACTTTTTTGATGGACTTAATTAAGAATCGAATATATCACATATCGCTTTAAAAAATATTGTATCGTGTCGAAATTTTTTGCTCAATACACAGCCCTATTAAACAGACAAAAATAACTGATATTAAAATGAAATTATAAAAGAAATATATTATTCTACCTTATATCTTTTACTTTTATAATACAAAATACACGAAAATGTTGTGTTAATATCGTTTTATTTGAGATCGTAGGTTTCAGTCCATGTTTCCTCTGTCAAGCAATCGGCAGTCTTTATTATCGATAATCATGTTCAGGAAGTGTTAAAGAATACAGTTAAAAATAAAAATTATACTGCAGTTTATTGAATTTATTGTCTTTTATACATTAGAAGAATTAAATAAAATATTTGAATTTTTTTAAAATAAATAAGTTACGATCATTTGGGAGAAAACATAAATACATTTTATTTCATATAAATCTAGATTCAAAATTCATATTTTCCTCATTCTTAGAATATTTTTCCTTGTGATTCAAAGTCCATAATTTATTAAAATCTTAAATGAAACGTCATACAAAAATTAATAAATTATTTCATGAAATGACGAAAAATATTTCGTTATTCCTATATTAAAATTTCAAATTATGGAAAACTTAACCTGTTGATTTTTTTTCTGTTGACATTTTACCAATTTTATAGCAGAAATAACAATATTATCGATCTGTTTTCCTAAGATAGATGATATAGGTAAGTTTGTTTATATTGGATACAGCAAGAGTTACTGTTCTTGTGCATTGCATCAAGGGACAGAAAACCCTCGATTGGGGGTACACCCCCGTTTGGGGGTTCCAGTAGACTGATATATCACATTATTTCATTTTTCTCAGACTGCTTTCTGAGAATGGGGCAAGTGCCATAAAGATTGGGAAAGTAATGAGGTATTGAGAAATTTTTGGATAACCATTACACTTTAAAATCATGATATATACTAAGTTTCTGGTCTTTGTTATCCATTTAATACATATCTCTTTACTGAAGTATGTTGGAATAGAATATAGACAATAACTGTTAGTTTCACGATACACATCATGACATGGGCTCTTCACGATTAATGTGTCCTCTATTTGAAAATATTTGACCACCCCTAAACATTATGCAAGTAACGTGAGGGGTGGTCAAATAGAAAGAAGACAAATTAATCGTGCGAAGCCTCTGTGGTTGTGACGGTGACCTAAGATAACAACGGGAATACGTTGGTTTCATATAATATGCTAGCAAACAAACCTTTTTATCTTTTACATGGTCGAAAGTTTTCTGACGTCAATAAGACGCTTTTATAAAACGCTAAAATAACCCTGATGAATGAAACTAAAAATGTATTTCAAAACGAATAAAAAAAAGCTAATTTTTCTTCATGAACACAACATATATCATCAGTTATGTGTTTTATGACTATTTAATTTTTAAATCTTTAATTTCTTTAGTACCAAGGTGTTTTATCAAATTCTAATAATGCAAATATTTATATAAATTTGTTTTTTACGTTAGGAAATGTCAAGATACGTATCATACGATATTTGCTATGATTAACAAAGAAAGGAACAGAATCAGCTTTTTTAAAGAATTAAAATCGATTTCAACAATCGGATAGGCCAGCGACAAAAAATATGGTCGATGGTTAAATTATTATAATTTTTATTTATCAGCAGTGAAAACTCAGCAACATCATCAGCTTAATATTGAAATTTAAGAAAATACTTATTCCACCATTTACTGCAAATCATCAAACAAAAGATCAAATATCTGAGATGTGTTTACTCTTTAATTATAATTCTGACCATTTTCGGTATTTAGGATGACTTTTGTATTGTTGCCATTGGAATTCATAAACATCATGGCGTCTGCCATGGACGTTCGCGCCGATTCGGTATTGGAGGGGCACAGACCTTCATTGTTAGAAGTAATTGAAGACAAAAACAGGGCACTCAATAAGGTAAACATAAAGGGAATCAATTTCTGGAATGAAATGTAAACATTGTGTAACGTTTGAAGTACTAACACTGTTATACCATCTCACAAGTGAACAGTGCTTTGTAGATGGCGCGTCTTAATTTTTTCAATATTTGATACTGACTCAAGAACATATTAGAAGAGCATGAGACAAAGAAATGAATGAGCCATTCCTTCTAAATGCATTGGATTATTTATTAAATTAATTTATTACTTTAACACTTAAACTTCAGTTACTTATGTACCAATTAATATACCCTTAACATCTGCATACATGGGCTTACGTCTTGTGATTGATTCAATATGCAAGAGCATGCTCTGTGTACGAACAGTTTCTGATAAAACAATTATAAATGCAAGGCAAGCTATGGACAAACATGTTAATGAAACAAGAATATCAACAGTCTCATTTCAAGTCATCAGTTTGCAAGTTCAATGGTCGATACCATGATTTGTCAGCAAAATCAATCTCTCATTTAGTCGAATGCTGACTGACATTTCTCATGATAATTATTAGGTCATTATTTAATACACTGAATTGTTTTCTGTTTAACAGATGCATGTGACTGCTTTACAGTAGATGCTTACTCCTCAATTGCACCTGATCCCACCACTGTTGTTTTTACTCTTTTCCTGATTTGTATTGTTTAACTGGATTTTTCAGCTTGATTACTGTTTACTGTTTGTTAATTCCAAATTTATTGCATGAACAAGGCAAGAAATCTGAGTATTCCATGTGAAAATACTTTAAAATACAAATGTAATAAATTTATATTATATTAAAAAAATACTACAGTGTTTGAAAAAAGAGTTAACATTAGCAAAAAAATCCACCATTTAATATTTCAGTATTGACTGAAAATCCAATTTCTATTTTATTGAAAAAAAGCTAATTCAGAGAAACTGTATCACTTGCTTAAGAAAAAAAAAGAACTTGCACTGATTAAGAGGGGGTGAGCAAAAGGGAGGCACTTTAAGAAGGGCAGAGAGGGCCGTAAAGAGTTTTGATACATGGGTATAATAAATTGCATTGCAAAAAGCCCGAAAGCTTCTTGAGACATCCCTGGAAATGAAGTTTTACACAAGAACAGGCTCTATGAATTTATGACCTTTTGACCTCAAAAATGAAAATTAATAAGGGTCTTCCTTAGGCCAAAAGGAAGTTGTGGTATAAAACTTCACTGCAAAAGCAAAAAGGCTTCTCCAGATAATGCTTAGAATTAGAAAGAAAGTGTTGAAACAGACAAAATTTCATTGCAATTTGCAAAAGCTTAAAGGCTTCTAGACTAGAGAAACCGATGTGGAAACAAAAGTGTACGTTACAGACAGACAGATATACAGACAGACAGATCCATATCAATATCCCCCACTTTCAGTGAAAGTGGGAGCAAAAAAATAAAGGATGATGTTAAATTGACAAAAAAAATTAAATTTACACTTCATCCTTGAATATTTAACATCTCTGTTAGCCAAGAATTTAATTTGTCTTAAAGGGCAGGAGAGTTTTGGATGATGTTCTTATCATTGTGATAGTAACATACATGTAAATGTTTTTCCATTGTGAAGATAATTAAAGGTGCATGTTTTGAAGTTAGTATTTTCTGTATAATATCACGACATATATTTTAATTAATAGCATTTCACACAAAAATATATTAAAAATTTTATTTCATAAAGTTATTGCAACTTCAAATTTTTGGATGGGTTTGATTGACACATCCTTGCACTCTCACAAATTTTACTTTTATTCTTAATACTTAAGAAAAGTGGCAATCTTGTTGTGTATTAATAAAAATATTAAAACTTTAAACCAGAAAAATAATTATATTCAGAGTAGAAATGTTAGAAAGCAAAACTCCTTCACAAGTATCATCATTCCATGCTAAGTGTTGTGTACAGAGTATAGCAAATTGATCACACTAGTGAAATGTTCAGTTTTTGTAAACAGGGCACGAGCTCTGTTATTGTTGATGTTTACGATTCACCAGGTGCTTTCAATCTTTATAGTCTGCTCACCAGAACTGCATGGACTGAAAATATACTGTGTGTGTGTTTTGCTTTAGAACATTTCTACTCTGAATTTTCTGGATTATAGTTTTAATATTTTCATTTATACACAACAAGATTGCCACTTTTCCTAAGTATTAAGAATAAAAGTAAAATTTGCAAAAGTGCAAGGATGTGTCAATCAAACCCCTCTAAAAATTTAAATGTCTATAATAACTTTTAGATGAAATAAGATTTTTATTATATTTTTGTGTGAAATGCTATTAAAATATATAAGTTGTAATATTATACAGAAAATATTAACTTCAAATCTGTGTCCATGCATGCACCTTTAACATTTGTAATATTTTCAACAAGAAAATGATATTTTCATTATTTTCAGGTCAAAAATTACATATTGAAAATAGCATACTGTTACTTTTAAAATTATCAATTTTATGCAGTGCATGCATAAATTTTATTATTTTAGTGCAGAAAATTAAGTAATTAATTTCAATACTTGAGTTTTCATGAAGATCATTCCTTTGGTAAACTGATTTAAATTCATAGATTAAATCGATCACTCTTTAAGTATTCCATTAATTAATAGTTTATAGTTTTAACATTATATAATTTTTATATTTAGAAGTTTCTGTTTTAATCTTAAATAAATTTAGTAAAAACTTAAAACTTTTTTTTGAAAATTAAATGTTTCATTAAAACTCAGATTTATGTTACATAGACATGATTTATATAATGTAAAACATATTTTTACCTTTATTTAACATCCTGAATTTTGTTAGTCCATCAAATATATATAATTAATTAGTTCTCTTCTTGTCTGCTTGTACTTTCTTCACAGAGATTCTGTTAAGACTTTCACAGGTGTGCAAGTTTTTATAGATCTGTCAAGTTTACAGCTATAATCATTTGCACATATTTAAGTCTCAAGATTACATTGTAAAGCACTGATTAGATAATATAGTGAGTTGTTGATATGTATTCAATACTCAGGAACACTAGGGGAATTTCAATCATTGTAAGAGGAATATTTGAGCAATAGACATAGTTGATCTAGTTAAACATACTTGAAAGACGCACAAAACGTGTACATATTTGCATAGTTTTCTTAAGTAAATAATCCAGCATTAAAGCAATGCATCTGATAAAATATGGGCTGGAACTCCAATTTATTGATTATAAGTGTCCAAGAACACCGTATTCTTGTTGCTGGGGTACCCCAGTATAGTTACAGATATTAAATAACAAATCACCTGGGGACTGAAGTTTATTAGAAACTCATTATCCAAAAATGGCGGAAAGTCCAGATTTGACAAAGAAAGATGGCTCAGAGGTTGAAGTCGGTGAGGAAGAATCGGATGGTCAAAAATCTCCCTCAGGTCGACGGAAAAAAGTGAAAAAAGTCTCCCAAGTGAAATCTAAAAAACAGGGAGAGAAGAGATTTGATTGGCCGAAAAAGAGTTTCTTTGAAATTGTGTGTCTAGAGGGAAATCAAATGGTTAGAATGAAAAGCTGAACCAACCTTTGTTGCACTTTGCAGGTTTTAAAAAATTGGATCTGAATTCTAAATATTGACATTGTATTATTTTTTTTCCAGAAAAATCTTGTACACAGAGTCATATTTATTGGGAAGATGAAGGAGGGAGCAGATAGGACTGAAGTTGGCAGTAAGATTTTTCTCTAAGAGATCGATCAATGCAGCCAGATTTAAACATTTATGGTTAATATTTCCTTACTTATTAAAAAAAAAAATATCTGAAGTCTATAGACTAGTTAATTTTATGTTGATGGTTTTCAGATTATCATGAACAACTTCTGAAAAACCTCCAGAACACCAACCAAACAGAGCCAATCACAGGCCTTCTTCTTGTCTACATGAAACACATAGTTCATGTAATGGAGGTAAGTAACAAAAATTCTGCATTATTATGCCCCTCTTCAAAGAAGGGAAGGCAATATATATTGCTTTGCTGCTGTCTGGGGAACAGGTTTCTGTTCATTTTCTTCACAAATGTGCACATAGTGAAATGAAATTTGGTAATTGGTATACAGATTTATCGTAAAAGTATCTAGGTCATATTTTAATTTGGGTTTGATCGAGCCATTTTTGAGTTATGCCCCTTGGGCATAAAAAATTTCCAATCATTTGCAGTTTCTGTTCATTTCCTGTGCAGCAGTTGCACATACTGAAATGAAATTTGGTATACAGATTTATCATAATATCTAGGTCAAGTTTTATTTTTGGTACGATTGAGCAATTTGGGACACAGCTATGTCCCTTGGACCTAGAAAAATTCCAATTATTTGGGGGTGTTACAGTTTTTCAATGTTAACCTCAATGCACTATGATACATATGATTTTTTAGCTCACCTCAACGAAGTTGGGGGGAGCTTATGTGATACCCTCGGCGTCGGCATCGGTGTCGGCGTCGAGTCCCAGACAAGGTTAAGTTTTTTGGAGCAGTTTTCTTTTTAATTACTTCTGTGTCCTATACTGATTAGACATGCATGGAAGATGGTTTTATGGTTTTAGTGTGTTTTATTGTACCAGACAAAGTTTCAGATGCTGCAATTTCAGCAAAGGAATTACCAGGTTAATGTTTTTGGAGCAGGTTAACATTTTTAGTGCAGTTTTTGGTGTGGGTTTCATTTCCAAGTAACTATAAGCCCTATGTTGACCAAACTTGCATGGATGATACATCTAAGGATGCATACTACCGGGCTTGCTTCGGATGCTGAATCTGACCTACATTTTCCGGTTGAGTGAACAGGTTAAAGTTTTTGGTGTAGGTTTCATTTCCAAGTAACTATAAGCCCTATGTTGACCAAACTTGCATGGATGATACATCTAAGGATGCATACTACCGGGCTTGCTTCGGATGGAATCTGACCTACATTTTCCGGTTGAGTGAACAGGTTAAAGTTTTTGGTGTAGGTTTCATTTCCAAGTAACTATAAGCCCTATGTTGACCAAACTTGCATGGATGATACATCTAAGGATGCATACTACCGGGCTTGCTTCAGATGCTGAATTTGACCTACATTTTCCGGTTGAGTGAACAGGTTAATGTTTTTGGTGCAGGTTTCATTTGCAAGTAACTTTAAGCCCTATGTTGACCAAACTTGCATGGATGATACATCTAAGGATGCATACTACCGGGCTTGCTTCGGATGCTGAATCTGACCTACATTTTCCAGTTGAGTGAACAGGTTAAAGTTTTTGGTGCAGGTTTCATTTCAAAGTAACTATAAGCCGTTTGTTGACCAAACTTGCATGGATGATACATATAAGGATGCATACTACCGGGCTTGCTTCGGATGCTGAATCTGACCTACATTTTCCAGTTGAGCGAACAGGTTAATGTTTTTGGTGCAGGTTTCATTTGCAAATAACTATAAGCCCTATGTTGACCAAACTTGCATGGATGATACATCTAAGGATGCATTCTACTTGGCTTGCTTCGGATGCTGAATCTGACTTACATTTTCCGGTTGAGTGAATAGTTAAAAGTTTTTGGTTCAGGTTTCATTTCCAAGGAACTATGAGTTCTTTAATGACCAATCCTGCATAGATGATACATCTAAGGATGCATACTTCCAGCCTTGCTTCGGATGCTGAATCTGACCTACTTTTTGTGGATGAGTGAAAATGTTAGTTTTGATGCATGTTTCATTTCCAATAAACTATGAGCCCTATAATGAGCAAACTTGCATGGATGATACATATAAGGATGCACACTAATGGACTTGCTTCGGATGCTGAATTGGACATACATTTTTCAGATAATAGACAAGGTAAAAGTTATGGTTGCAGGTCTATTACCAAACCAAAAACTATAAGGCTTATATAACATTGTATAAACCAAACTTGCACAAATGCTGCATCAAGAGATGAAAACTCTCAAATTTGCTTCAGATGCTGGATTTTCATTACATTTTCACGAAGAAGAAGTAGTTTAAATTTTTTATGTAGGTCTATTTCAAAGTATCAGATCAAAATTGCTTTTAAAAATATTTTCATTTTTGGAATGTATACTTTTTGTTGGTTAATTGTGTGACTTTGCCTTACTTAAAGACAACATTCGTTGAGGTGAGCTCTGTAATCTCTGATTACCTATGTTTTCATGTTGTAAAAATATTTGTTCTCTTGCAGTGTTCAGCAGATGCAATTATGGCCATGGTGAGAGATTTGAAACAAAGCAAGGGCTCTGAGAAAGGATTCTTGGAGAATGCCAAGATTTTAGTGATATCTCATGACATACAGAATAGATTATATCAACAGTGGAGTTTTAGACAGTTGGACATTGTAGCCGCTCGCCTTGAGAGTCAGGATTCTAATGAGTCTACTGACAAAGTCGTGATTGACCTAGTTACTCAACTTCTAAAACTTGGCAATGCTCTTGCAAAGACACCCAAGGTAATGCCTGTCTTAGATCTTTACGAATTGAGATTTCTGTATTGTTTTTCATGTAAAATATAATAAAATTTCAAACCCAACTTCAAGAACAGCTTTAAAAATCTTTATAGACATGTTATTTGCAATGCTGCAATTAATTTTCCTGCATTTGATTTTTCAGTTGAACCTGAAAAATGTAATGGATTCTTTACATGAAAAACTTCCAGACCTTTTACCACAACAAGGTTTGATTAACAGTGAAAAGAAGTACAGAAAAGCCAATTTGTATATACAGACATATTCTTGGTTCTCAGTAAATGCATGTTCCTATAGCCAGTTATAAAATGAGGCCATTCCAAGATTTTTCGATGTTTAGTGTCTGCATACAAATTGGTTTTGAGGTTATGAAATTAAAAGCACAGATTAAAATCGACACAACTCAAATTTTTAAAACACAAGTTACGTTACTCTTTTCATATCTGCATCTCCCTTTTTTAAGAGGTGTGTTAATTTTTTTTTCAATAAACTAGTAGTTAACTTAGTTAACATGCAAAGAGAATTCTCAAATGACGATGAGAAATTCTAGGATTTTGCTTAAAATGTTTTTTTTTTTTCCCTTTTGGTTTTTTTCTAGATAGAAAGATAAGTTTTTGAATTTAAGGTGGACACTAAACACAGAAAAAAACTTGGAATGGCCTGAGGTTTAAGGCCATTTTTGGTACCATGGTATATACATGTAACATTTTACACTTGTGTAAACATTTTACACTTGTGTAAACATTTTACACTTGTGTAAACATTTTACACTTGTGTAAACATTTTACACTTGTGTAAACATTTTACACTTATGTAAGAGGAGGTGACTACTAGCTCACAATTCTTTTATTATGATAAAGGTGTTCTACATTACCTGATGGAAGATGAGGACCCCTGCATGATTTCTCTGGAGGAGTATATTGAGCTAGAGGAACACCCATATGATGTTGTTCTTGAAAGTGGTAAGTTTCTTAAGCGACTTTATAATTTAGTAAAAGATATTTTATCAAAAGTTTATTTGTTAGCTTTTAAGTATAGTAATTGTAGGTAAATTAAAGTCTTTTAAGTCTATTTCTGCTTAAAATTGTTGAATTGACCTTTGTAGTAGTGTTGAACATGACTTAAAAATCCCTGCGTATGTTTAGAAAAATTACTATGTTATGAGAATTCATTTTATTTCAAACAAATTTTATTTTTAGAAAATGAGGCCAATTATTTTTTTCCATTTTTCATACCTGGCTAATATTAGTTTAACTATCAATGTTCATACTAACTTAGTTTCTTGCTAAAAAAAATCAACTATTATAGACATTCTGGCAATGATTGAAATGTTTTTAGAAAAGTAATTTATTTTAAAAAAAAAAATAAATGACATATGTGTAAAAGTGACTATGCTTTCTAAAATATGCTTGTGTGATACAATACTTCGGCTTATAATACTATTGTCTTTTTTTTTCATTGCAGAAGGTAACGTCTTTGCATTACTCTACTAAATATGTAAATCTTTATCTTGCCAAGTTATCTTAATTTTTTTTTTATTTATTAAATTTGATAACCATACAAAAAAAAAACCAGATCAGAAAGATGACTTGGTTCACTATAATTACCAGTTGTCTGTTGGTACCAAGATCCTTGAATGTCACAGAAAAGAGCTGTTGTGAAATAGAAAATGAAAGAGTTTTAGACCAAAAATTGCTTTTTGCTTTTCAATGCATTTGCTTATATTTGATGGGACATAGATGTTTTGATACAAAAAAGGCATTCAAAGCTCTTGTAAACGTTGCATGTTACAGTCATGAGGGTGCAATTCTTGCAGATTAACAAACTCTTTATGATGAAATGCACTTCTTGAGTTCGTGGCATACATGCTGAATTTCAACATTCTATAGTTTATTCTAAAGAATAGATAGGTACAGGTAGATGACTTTTTTTGTTGCATTGAACTGTAATGGTTTGGGCTATGAATATTTATCTGGGTAGCTGAGTAGGCAGAGCACCTGACTAATGATGCAAGGGTCCCAGGTTTGATTCCCAGTACAGCCACAGAATTTCTTCTTTCCTGTTACATATAGTTTCCTCTCGATTTCAGTCACTTTGATTCCTTTATTAATTACATGTAAAATTCCTATATCTTCAATACACAAAGCATGTGGTACTCTGGTTGCAGTCGTGATTAAGCTTTACCTATTGAAAATCAGCATGTAGTTTACTGAACTTAATTTCTACTGTTAGGTGATTGGTCACTTTGAATGCTAATGGTCAAGAGAATCCCACACCTTATGTATAATTGTTTACCATTATTTTAGCACCCCCACACTTGGACATAACTTAGTATAGATACTGGTATGTCACTATGATTATAGTCAATGCATGTCACCATTGAGAATTGTATTCATAGCATGGTTATGGATTTCCTTTCTTTCGTAAAGTGTTGACCTTTTTTATTCAAATTAAAAATTAAATTATGCAATAAAATATCAATCAGTCCAAATATGCAACAAAACATTCTCAGCTAATTTTTTCGAAAACGTTTAATATCTACTTATCCTCAAGTCAGATTTGTTAATTACATGTATTAAGCCATCATTGTTTTTTCAACAATATTAGATATACATAAAAGCTTGTGTACTTAAATCATTTATCATGCATTTTTTTCTCTCACATGAAATTACAAACATTGACTTTGATTTACCTGTGCCTTTTTCAGAGCTGGTGTGGCCTCTACCCACAAGACTGTTCCCTTACAACTAGACCTTCGAATTCATGAAGTTATTTGACATTTCTCCAGCGATTGCAATATAGGTGATGATAATTGACAACAAATGGGACTGGACTACTAAATCTCATTGTTACTGTATATAAATACATAAGTTATACATGTCTTTATTTATGACAATAAATATTCACTAAAATATTAGTACTCCTTGTAACTTTTTTGTTGATCTTCTATATTTTTATTTAGTTAGAAGATCCTCAATATGCCTTCAAAAAAATTATTGTAAGCCATCTTTAAAAAATTGTTCAACCTCTTCCAATTGTGCGACTAGAAATCATTCCAGTGTTTTATCTCCCCATTTTTAACTACCAGTATCTTTATTCTCATTTGTAAGTTCTTTTTCCCTAGCTACTTCCTCATTTTTTTCATCCCGAGTCAGAGGACAGCAAACAATTTTTTTAAGAGATGGCTTTATTCAAAAATATTTTCTCCTAGTTAACAGTATTGACATAGAACATAATCACATACATTCAGCTGTGACCTTACATTAGTATGCCATCTATTATTTTAACTTTTAATAATTAGCTCAAAAATGTATTTCATTAAAATTACTCTGGTTGCACTTTTTAGTTTTGATGCATTATACTGAATATGTAATATGCAGCCTCTGGAACATCAAAATTATCCTGATCATTAATCAACAAGTGATGATATAACTTTTGTCATTAGTGAAATAATCAGAATCAATAATCCACAGAAGTAACTGTACTAAACATGACACGAAAATATTAATTACATTAAATCAATTACTTAAAGGCTATAATATAACGACCAATAGCTGTCTCGAGGGTTCTACTTCAATGAAAGACTGGGTCACAAAGTCTGATCTGAATCCTCCCGTGAGCCTGTCACAACAACAAACTTGCAAGGTCAGACTGCCTCATGACCTTGATGAACTTGTCGGTCAGATCCAGAGAATATGCTGGTAGTCTATCAGACAGTTTACAATATCCTATAAGGATTACATTCAAGTAAGGTGCATCAAATTCATACAATATCTGATCTTCCAAACCACAATAAATTGTGAACCCAAGTACAGATAGATAATGGCAATTTTTAGAGTAGAGCTTATAATTAGACAATTTGCAACTCCACTACTGAGTATGTATGTATGTACATGCATATAAAACCCTAATAAATACTACTCTATATATTTTTATTGCCATCAATAATTTTTAAACAAGTTTGAGTTTTAATTCACCATGAAAAAAGAAGAACAACTTGTACAAATCTGGTTTAAAATCTTTATTCTAGAGATTTTCTAAATCTCTTGACAGTACTTTTTTTATACATGTAAATTTTATTCAAAATTCTAATGATTCTATTCTAACCCTCCCCCCCCCCCTTTCCTTTAAAAAAGGATAATTCTTCCATATTACAGAGTATATTTCGAGCTTATATGTTTATCATTGCATGATGACATTTAATTCATTCACAATAAACATTTTAATGATTTTATAGCACAGTATGATATATGTTAATGAAAAAATTCATTCAAATAAATTCTCATGGAATCTTATACAACATATGCATTGAGTCTGGAAATGTTATGCATGTAGTATATTACTGGTAAAAATCAACAAAAAGAAACAACATATCATGATTATATGGTCCATCCAAAAACTTATGAACATGTATTCACCTTTCACCTCCTCTTCCTTTAAAACCACCCCCTCTGGACCGAGACCCTCTTGAAAAAGAACCTCCTCTAGAACCAGAAAATGAACCTCTTGAAAATGATCCCCTCCCCTGAGACCCCCCTCTGGTACTGGACCCCGTCCCCCTTGATCCTCCCCTCGACCCTGATGCCCCCCTCCCACGACCATCAGAGGACCCTCCCTGTTGTTTGTTTTTAGGGGTGGGAGACTTGGGTCGAAGTCTCTCAATTTCTTCTGAACACCCAGTCAGGTAGTCATTGGGGTTCTTGTTGAAATAGCCGGAGTACACTAGTGCATCAAAGTTTGTACTGGTCAGTTCTGGACCTAGAGTCAACCACCCAGCCCTGATCGTGTCGTCTCGCCCAAACACGTGCAAACGACGACGGCCCAGACAGAAGTGCTCCATGATGTGAAATATCTCGACGGGTTTGCTTTTGCTGCCATATTCAAAGTCCTCCTCTATGATCAGATCAATGTCCACATTGGCATGGATGAAATCTCCATCTGTGCTTCTTTTCACTGTGCCTTTTATTCCCATTAAACAATGCTCCTAAATAAATATTTTATTAAATAAGTGCATATAAAAGTATTCAGATTTTAACTTATAATATCAGATTTTTTTTTATTAGTTTATACCAAATCAACAGTTTAGGTATAATGATCTTTAAGGTAGGAACTTGATGGAGGATTCAATACCAATTTAGAGTTCAGTTGCAGTTATACATGTATGAGTATATACCTTAGTTCTCTGAAGAACAGCAGAGGGATCTAGAGGCCTCTTCTCACGTGGATTTTTGTGGTTTGTTTTTATCCAGCAGATGTCTTCACATCGTCTAAACCCCCATCTCTTCAAGCACTAGAAATTAGGGAAAAGTTATGTAAGCTTTTGGACTTAAATAACTACACCATACACCCATGATATCCGTACAAGTACAGTACTATTTGAAGCATAAAAAATATTTCAAGTATTATTTTATTAATCCTCTCTTCTTTAGTACAGCATGCTAGCCCTAGACTAATGACAGCTCTTAAGCTCACACAGTTTGCTAGTTCTATTTCTTATGTCAGTGTGGTAAGAAAGACAACTCTTGATACCTGTCTGCCCCTCTCCAGTCCATCTGCATTTCCACACCACAGCCATAAGAAGGACCTCTGGGCAGCCACAGCAGGGATATTCAGCCTCTCAATCTAATACACAAAAAAACAGGCAATAATGATGACTTAGTATTGATAAGAAAGAGTGTCAGCATTTTGTTTTCATGGATAAGGCAATTCCAAGAAAACTCCTGGATGCATTTTAAGGGAGAAAACTCTTATACGGAAGCAAAAAAATCTCCAAAAATAAAATTGGCATAAAATTTATACAGCAGTCATTAAATATATCTACGATACATATGAGTGCTTTCCTAATTCATTAGAATATAATTCACCAGAGTACTTATTTTAAAAAAAATAATACTTGCCTCATCCCAGTTCCAGTATTTGTCATATACTGCCCCTGTTGACCTCTGGTATTCTTCTAAGGGAGGCTCCACAAACATGACATCAAATTTACACCCAAGTTCACCAAGGTCAAACTCTTGAAGGTCACACTTCAAGTACCTAGAAAAAGACAAAAAAAAGTTGTAGGACACAAAATGATTGTATATTTCTGAATTGTGATAAACATGCAATAAAATAGAGCTACATAAAAAGTAGTAATTCTACAAGCTATTCTGACAATATTAAATAATAGTTTTAGATTTGAAACTAACATTGGAGGTGTGTTTGTTTTCGATATAAGCTCATCCTTTAAACGAATCAGTTCTCGCAACTTGGGATACTCCTCAAATCGATTGGCAAGACCTATGAAAACAAAAATGACAGTCAAGCTACTTCAAAGCAATGCAAATCTTCAAAGCCCCTGTTGGTAACAGGTTACATGCATTATGCAATTAAAGTAAGAAGATACGCTTAACTACAAGACGTTTCTCCTAATTATTTTTTAAAATTCAACAATGTTATGTATTAAGTTCCAGTCTAAAATCAAACCTTTACTAGCTCCTTTTTATTTTGATTGTTGAGCTAGTGAAGGTTTTGATTTTAATCAGACTGAAAGTTTAAATAGCTAGTGCATCAAGATATTGCCATGTGTTGTACATCATATACTTGTACATGTATTTTTATTTGCAAACACATATTTTAGATTATACCAGTATCTCTGATGAAGTTCTGTGGTCTCTCCCCCGTATCCACAAAGTTCTGACAATAATCATTGTGAGGATTAGCACTCTGTGTTCCCTGAAACAGAGATTTCTTGTTTACTTATTTCCACTCCGAAAATTATTAATGATCTGATTAGAGATATTAGATACTGTAAAACGAGAATATTTGACGCACTACTAATTTTAGCGCCTTTAACGCAAGAGCCCCTAAACGCTGAAATTTATTGTATTAGTGTTTATCCGCTAACTGATTTCTAAATATTATTTCTGTGTGATTTCAAAGCTTTTACGTAAGTAAATGTAAACTGGAACGCTCGATAAGGTAATGCCGAAGGGTCGTTGGATTTTTATATACAAACTAGCACCGTAGGATCGATCAAGAAAGTTCTTCCAAATTATAATTTAATTAAACTATTGTCACCCCCATAGTTGTTACCCGATTTTTATCATTAGCACCTTTAAGGTCATTGGCAACGAAGGGTTTCCGGAGAAAAAAGGTTTATACCCAGGTTTCTTTACTTATGAAAAAAAGTCATTGAGAGTGATCTCCCGTATGGAATTCTCTAGGCGCTGAAAACAAAGAAATCATATGTAACAGACTGAGAGGTAAACAAAAGCACGTGTGATTTTTTAACGGATATATTCAACTCTACAGTAATAAAAGAAAAGCAGCGATGGGTTTGTTTACATTGTGTTGAGGGGGCAGACAATTAACAGGTCGTCATTTAGAATAGGTAAATGATTGCTGGGAAGTTCAAAGGTGTGAAATAATTATGCTGAAGTGTTGATAGCTAGGTGGACCGAATGAGAACGATTCCATAGGGTATGTGAATGATGCACCATTAAAAAGTTACTATAAATCCTTGTAAAAATGTTTTTTGACAGTTCGTTTCCAATTAAGTAAATTATAGAATAGAAAAAACAACCACTCTCTTCATCATTATGAATATTGATTAGATGTTATTACAGTAAAGGGAAGTAACTCAAAATTAAAGAAAAGTGCTGGTATTTCTGTGTTTTGTTTCAATATTCGTATTTTCAGCCAAATTATATGCATGTCATCGGAAATAAGGTTTCAACAATGTGTTTTATGTATAAACCTTATAAAATAAATGGGTTTTAGAGAAAACGTATGGTTAAAAATAATATAGGCCCATTTTATCAACATTTTACATAGGAAATGCATTGAAAATTGTAAAAACATTGATTTGACAAAATCGTTAAAGGAAGGCTGGCTTGATGGGTAAAAAGGACCTGAATTGAACATGTTTGGTACCATTAA